TATTGCCTTTTGAAAGTGGTAGATGACCTTGGAAGTGTCCAAGGTATGAGTGCTGCTATATTATATCATTTTGCGTGATAGCTCTGTATGGATGTGTGGATGACTGAGTGCCCCTGAAAGGGCTCATCCCCTGCCTCGTGCTAGCTCTGGAAGAAGAGTGGGACAGTTTAGTGAGCTAACTGAAAGAAAGATTCTTGTGGCACTTGTTTCTGATCACTTAGTTTCCTGAACTAGGTCCCTGGAGGGATATCAGGTGAGCAGTACAGCCAGCAGAAAGGCTAGCATACAGCTAGGGCTGGATTGCATCTTGCTTTAGCAAAGAGAGAGTTTTTCCTGACTGAGAAAGATGAATGGCATGGAGTTAGAATCACAGAATGGTTGGGGCTGGAAAGGATTAAGATCATTTAGTTACCCAGTTACCAGTCAAGACAGCATCACCTGGAAGGGGAGAGGTTTAAGCATGGCTTGTTGAGCTACAGCTTTACAGCACTGGAAATGAGTTGCAGGGGTATCTGATCAAAGATGGTGGGTATGACAGAAATCCTGTCAGGACTGAACCAGTTCTGATGGAACTGGTATACTCACCAAATGGCTAGAACTTAAATATAAAACTGGATCCTGTCTTTTCATTAAAAGAGAAGGTTGCATCCCTGTCTTATGTCAAAAACCTGTGTCTGTTCCTGCATAAAAGAAACCTAGAGTCACAGACTGGTTTGGGTTGGAAGGGACCATAAAGCTCATGAAGTTCCAACCCCTGCCATGGGCAGGGACACCTTCCACTAGAGCAGCTTGCTCCAAGCCCCTGTGTCCAACCTGGCCTTGAACACTGCCAGGGATGGGGCAGCCACAGCTTCTCTGGGCACCCTGTGCCAGCACCTCAGCACCCTCACAGGGAAGAGCTTCTGCCTTATATCTAACCTCAGTCCTTAGACCGACTTTAGTGGGATTCGACAGGACCAACCAACCACCCCATTAATGTGTTGAATTCAGTAATATGGCAAAATTCCTGTGATGGGACATTAAATGAAAGCTGATCTTCAAATCTCTCTTATGTATGCAGCACCAGGGAAGAGGGAAAAAATGCAAATTAAACAGTAACACATTTCTCATACATGATATTTTAGCATATAAACACTGTGAGCTGACTTCTGGCATCATCATGCCATCAAAGTACAGAGCTATGCAAGGTTATGTGTCTGGTCCCCACTCCAGATTTCAGTACATCACAGATTAAATTGAGGTGTGTTTTCTCTGCATTTATTCCCACTTGTCACACTTCTGCTGTCTTTAAATTTCCTGTCTTCAACTGGGGATCCTGTAACAGCAAGAGATGGATTAAAGTGGGAAATCTGGGGACAATGTGCAGCAAAGGAGGCACAGGCACCCTCCTGGGCCTCTTCAGAAAGCTCAGTCTTGTCTGGTATAATTTGGCCTTTTGAAATGGAATAAAAACATTTCCTAGTACTCAGAGGGTGAAGGGGATTTTGTTTGCCATATCCAGAAACCACTGGGGTGAATTTACAGACCTCACGGGCAAGTGCAAGGTGGTGAAAGGTTCCCTTTGAGTGGTAGATCCATCATGGGAACTCTTAGTCCCTCCTATGCTATGTCATACCAAAGAGAAGCTTGTGGCATTGCTCCTGGCTGGCTGTTCCCTTCAGGTAGTGACTGAAGCAGTAGCTTTTGAAGATCTTGTAGCAACAACCTCAGGAAGGAATTAAGGTCCTGACTTCTAGACCTGGGAGAAATTAGGAGCCTATTTGCTCTGAATTTGGGCCATGATCTGTGTGATGCAAATCTCAGTTGTCATCTGACAGGAGCCTGGTGGATTTTGGAGTGAAGATGTTATCAAGGGGACTGAGCATCACTCAGAAATCACCCTTCCACTTACTTGGCTGTGCCTGTTTACAGGAGGCTGTTTGCTGTTGTTCTCACAAGCTGTATGACAGAAGTACACTGAAAACTCCCTGTGGGCCCTTTGCAAGTAAACTTTTTCTTTGTCGTATCATCAGAAAATGCTGCGTAAGAGAACACTTGCACCTGCTCTATCCCCGCAATTATCCTGATCTTAGCACTAGATTTTGTGTTCCTATTTTTAAAAGCCATCTTGCTAAATAGACGTGGAGAATGTTCCCTTTGGAAGAGTAAGTGAGCAGCAGTGCATCATTAGGGAAGCACTGTGAACTTGGCATGCCGTGCATCAGCCGAGTGAAAGGAGGAAGATAAGAGAACTGAATAAATTAGCATGTTTTCTGTGTGCAGAATACTGACTTGCAAATCTGGCAATGACAGAGAGAAAAACTCTCTTTTTAAGTCTCTTTCATGTTGCACAAATCACCTAAGGGATAGCTGGAATCTTTTCTGAAGGCATTTATCCTATATACAGTTTAAGATGGAATAGCTAACCGAAGGAAAATACCCTTGGCTTGCAAGCAGTTGAAATGAGTGTCTACAAAACCAGACAGCAAAGCAGAGATATTGCAACCAGAATTCTGCATGCTGATTGCCAGGTTTTGAGTCCATTTATAGAAGCTGGCAGCCTTGCATGAAAATAGAGCCAAGTAGTTGGTTACAGCTTTTGAGAAAGCAAAGAGAAGACAACGACACACAGAGCTCCCGTTTGGATATACTACATATGATTAGGCTGTGGTTTACAAACCTTGGGGCCATATTCTACACTTTGCATGGCTTATGTTCACTCAGAACATAAGGGGAGGGCTGTGAAAAGCTGGCTGTCAGTTGTATGCCTGTTCTATCAGTTCTGGAGCCAACTGGAGACTGCTTCAGTCTACAGTTTGACTCAATACAGGCTTAGCTCAGCCAGTAGTTAAAGCACCTGCTGGCTCTCAAAGCAAGAAGGCCATGAGTAGCAGTGAAGGATACATGTAGGAAGATACTACATGTCATAGGAAAATGCCTACAGCAAACCTGTTCAACAGCTACTGTGCAATATTTGAATGGCTCAGCACAAAACACACCATCTGAGCAGCAGGATGAGTGAGTTTGGCCATTGCAGAGGGAAAAAAAGAGTTAAAACTCAGTGGGTTCCCCCCCCCCCCAGTCTTTTTTTAATATGTGTTCAGTAGAAACACACTTCAAGGCTTGTCTGTGCTTAAACTTGCCTGGTTTCATTAAACTGATCTTTTAAATCCATGTTAATACCAGAGTGTGTGCATGTATCATTCTGTGGTTCTTTGCAAGTGTTTTATGTGCCCCTGTAAACTCAGGGCAGATTTAACTGGATTGATGAGTGTTGCCAAATGTATTTGGAGAGCCCAATTTGTGATGACCAGAAACCAGTCTTTAATTCTTTTATATAGTATCTGTGTAAAAGTCCCGTGTTGGGAAGATGTTTTGTGCTGACCGTTCATTTGGGATTATTTCATCCCTTCCAACCCAAACCATTCCATGATTCATAACTCAGAGGTTCAGTCTGAAACTCTGTTAGGAGGACGAAGTCTTGTTCTGTCTCAGTCTTGACTCTGTTCTTGATTGACATTTGGCCCTTGGGAACCAGGCAAAGCTACAAGACTGGAATTCCTGGGAGAAGGAATTGCTTGCTTATGTTTATTTGACTCTCTGTTGTCTGTGTGCATATAAAGCAAAACAATGTAAGAATGGCATTGATTTTTCCTCTAGCATGGGATCACAAATATTGGCTGCTGCTGGTAATGTTGATAATGATCCCAGAACAGGACATACCTCCCCATCAATATATACCTATCTACCTATGTATCTATATATATATAAATTAAGGAGTAGCTATGTTAAATGAAGTGGCTTTTAAGAGAAAAAAGCAATAATAAATCTAAATAAATGATGCAAAAACTCACCTAAAAGGATATTAACTTAAAAATGTAAGAGGGCTTAAGTGTAGGCTGTTTCAATGCTATGTTTTAAGAGAGTGAATCCATGTAGGAATGAATGTTTAGACAGAGCTGGAAACTTCCAGTCACGATGAATATTACCCCTTCAGAACAAATATAGGTAACATGAAAAAGTACTCATCACTTGTGGGTCTTTACAAAGGAAAGACTTATATATGCAACAATATGGGGTTTTTTTGCCTATTTATCCCAATACACATTCATGTACTCAATCTTAACAGAAGTATGGAATACTTTAAGTTATAAAGTAGCAGATGTACAGAAGGATGTGCTGCACCTAACAATGTAATAGCATAGGCGAAAGCGAGCAGTGGTAGAAAAGTACTGCATTTGGGTATATGGGTGATAGAAGCAGAATCATTTCAGTGTGTGCATCAGGAACCTATCTTCATCTTACCCCGATGAATGGACTGGTTTGACTGGAGGCTATTATTTGCTTGTTATATAATAATTGAGCATTTCAGGAGGGCAACAGGGAGGAAAGCTGCTGCAAGAGCTCCCTCTTCACTTGGGTTAGTTCATTTTGGAGAACAGAGTTCCAGCCCTGGCTTAGTCTGCCACCACCATCAAAAACTATCGCTCTTCTTGTGGTTAAAGCCAGTCCCCAGTAAAGCTGTGTTCCATAGGAGGTGCCAGCCTGCAGTGACAAAGGTGCTGTTCACTGCTTTGGAAAGGAGCTCCACAGTTTGCTTCCACACAAGGTAACTCTGTACCAGGCTCTCTCGGTACATGCAGGACTCGGAGCAGACCTCAGCCTCAATCATGGAATGCCAAAACCAGCTGGTTTGCCTATAAATAAACCAAGAGCCTCTTCGCATAGGAGACTTTTTTAACAGATATGCCATAGAAACGAATTGTCACTTTAAGTACTGGTGTTGAGAGTGTCTGTGGTAGTAACGGGATTCACATTCTAGTGTATGAAAGTCACACTGTGATCAGGTTTCAGTCCTACTGGTATCACGTTCCAGGAAAACCGCTTGTGCTGCAAGAGTTAAATCTGTCAGCCTTCTGTTTGTGATCCCCAGGGTGCCAGAGGTTTGTATCTTGGGTAGAAAACTCGACTTGATTTAGTCAAACACATCTCCATGCACCAGTGATTGTTTTGTTGTTTCAATTGCTTGAAATGCTCAATTGTTGAAATACAATTTAACAAAGACTTTTAGTATGGGGGAAATGCCTGCTTGATTTCCTTTTCTTTTTGGCTTTGGTTTGGGTTGTTTTCTGTGGTTTACTTTCTTTATTCCCTTTTTCATGTGAATCCACAAAGAAGCAGCAATCAGAATTCCACTGATCTTCTCAGCTGGTTCAATCCCTGATGAGAGCATCCCAGCAACCAGCTAGTTCAGGTTCTTCTGCTGAGCCCTTGGCCACTTGCACATACTTATTGCCAGGTAACTGTATGCAGTTGTAGCAACAATTGAGTAATGTGAGTTTGTCATACAGTGAGTGACTGTGCAGGAAGAGGGAAAAACCTTGGGTGACATGGTCTAGGGTGAGGCATCCCTGCCCATGGCAGGGGGGTTGGGACTGGATGATCCTAAGGTCCTTTCCAACCCAAACCATTCTGTGATTCTATGTGACTAGCACCTATTTAATGATCATAAATCAATTAGCCCCAAAACAAAAGGCTTCCACTTTCCATTACACTCGACTTTAATCAGTCATGATCAGACAGATAGCAGCCCACACTTGGCTGTACTCATGCTAGTGGAAAACCATCAGTTTCCCTCATCTCGGCACAAAGGAGCTCTGAATTGCAAGGGTATTTACTTGCTCAGCTCCAATCTAGCTCTGTCCCGGCCTTGATGAACCTGAGCAAGCTGGGACAAGAACAGAGCCAGCAAAATAACCGGTAGAAAGTGTTAGATCCGCCCAGCATGAGAACAGCCCGGCATTCCCTTCTCCCTGCAGTGCAGAGCAGCTCCTGCAGCCCTGGGACTGCAGCGGCTGCTGTTGGGGGGGGGAGATGGGCCCCAGCCAGATCCCAGCTCCAGCGATCTTCCTTAAACACTCCTGGCTTCCTTTTAAGGGGCTGGCTTGGGGCCATCGTCTGAGTTTGTGTCATCTCATCTCCTGATTGCTTGGGATGGAGGGAGGGAGGGAGGGGAGCAGCTTTTAACCCTCAGCATTGCTGTCCCTTTCCCTGAGTGGCAGCTGGAGCAATTGGAGCCTAAGGGGAGCACAGCTCCTTTTAAAGGGGCCTGTTACCCGGTTTGGGAGATAAGGCACAACTCCTTCTTCAGAGGAGCTCTGTACCCATTCAGTCTCCCTGTCTTCACTGTGAAGTGTCTATACCCCGTTTTCCTGAGATGCCAATGTTAGAGCTGCCAATCCTAACACTGCACTGGCAATGAGTGCCAGCCCCCCTCCCAGAAAAGGGAAGATGTTTGAATTCTGTTTAATGGGCCTTGGCATCCTTGTATTTGCTTTGTGGTTTCTGAGATTTGGCATTCACTTGGAGGAAAATTTGGGGGCTATAATTCAATTTTTCCTCCTTTGTCTTCAAAATGAAATTAAATCTAGACTTGATGTTTTTTTCAAACAAACAAAAAATGGGGGGAAAAAAACCCAAAAGAACCCACAAACAAAACCTGAAATAAAAGAAAAAAGCCACCAGCAAACACTAAACCAAGTTATTTAACTTGTTTTATTTAGGCTGTTCTCACCTAACAAAGTTGGCAGTGATGGTCACATAGCAACCCCCTGTGGTAAGTACCCCCCTGGATCTCCCGGTTGCTGGAGCAACAGCCATGGCCAAGCCCCACACAAGCCAGGCAGCCCTTGCCAGGTATTAGCTCTGAATTTCACACTGATAGCTCAAACAAATTCCTCTAAGCTTCTCTTTTCAATTCAGCCCATCAGTCAGTTCTCAGGAAGCAGCAGCCCTGTCTTCAGGGCTGTGATTTCTGTGAGTTAACAGAATATTTAATGTTATTTCTCTAACAAAAGCACCCCCCTTCTCTGATACGACCTCTCTGTGTCAGAGATGTCAATGAAAGCACTTTTTTGATTGCAGTTCTGCATTGGTTAAAAGGGGTTTTCACATAATCTCCTTCCAGTAAGGAGAGGACGAAATGGTCCAAATTCCTCCTCTCAGCGTTTTGCCAGGGGCAGGGGACGTCCTTAGTTCTGTGCAGTGGGTCCAGGCAGACTTCTCTCTGGGACAGGTTCCCTGAGCAGCCCCTCTGCTGAGGCCCAGCAGCTGTTGCCTTTCTTGTTTCTTAGAGAGAGGATATTGAATGTTCTCCCTGCTGGTCCCTGAGCAGAATACATGCATAGTCAAACAGTAACTGAGGGCCGTAGCTAAGGGGGTGAAAGGATGCTCTATGGATAAGGGCAAGAGGCATCTGCAGGCCTCGAAGGAAACTCGCCAAAACCTTTCTCTAGTAACTGCAAGGATTATCTAAAAATCAATAATGAAGGCAGTAACCAGGGAAAGGAAAAAACATGTCTCTGAGGAAAGCCAAATTCTGCGAGAGCAATCATGGCAGGATTTAGTGTAATTGTAAAGCAAATCAGATTGAGGGAAATTGGTATAAAAGGGACCCTTAGCTGGCAAGAAGGACCATATGTTCTTTCTTATCTCTGCAGAAATACCCTACTTTCTGAGTGTATTGACTTATGTGAGTACCTGCCCTAGTCTGGACTTTCAGCATCTACAAATATAATTGTAATGAAAAGAATAAATTGCTCTAAATGAGGACGCTACATCAATCTTCATGGGTTTAACCTCGTTTCACCTCTACTAGTCTGTAATGCGTGTCACCTCATTAACCTGTAACATACAGGAACGTTGGGATAAGTTTCCTGAAGTCAGGAGTGATCTGTGCTCATCATCTGTTGCTCTGTGTTTAGCAGATGGGCTGTAGTAACGATGTAAAATCTCTTCTCATGGCACTTTGAAATGCCAGTTTGGTGTGTGTGTGTGTGTGTTTTAACACTCCATCCTTCCAGAAAAGCAGTTATTGCTATTAATACTGAAATCCTATTTTGTCTGTGATGCTGTTTAAATCAGGAATCTCAGCTGTTGGACAGAACTCTGTAATTATGTACTTTAACACTATCACATTGAAGCTGGGTAGGACTTCATAAGCACTGACTCCTATTTCAGTTCTAGGGGCAGGATTTTCACTGCACTCACTGCATTGCAGTATCTAGGAGCACTGGCCTTCAGGTTCCCATGTGTTCAGATTGAATACATGATAAATATAGGAAATACTTGTACCTCCTAATAACCAGTGGCCTGTAAGGCATATTTGCAGCCTTTTAAACGTCTGCTTTCATAGAGGTAATGGGAGCCTTGGCCCCAAAGTGCTTTGTAAATGGTTACGCTTTGTGTTTTGAGGGTGTGGAAGTTAGGCATCTACATGCTGTTAAAAACCTGACAATTCATCTCACTTAGAAGGGACAGGGAATTGTGTTTTCTTCTTTTGTTTTCTTCCTTTCTTCTTAAATGGTTGTGTGATATTGGGCAACTCCATATCAAATCTAAAAGCTGCTGTCTTCTAGCTCTGGGCTCTTCCCAGACCTGTGCCGTTTGCACTCTTTTCTTTCCTCCCTCTCACCTCTATTTGAAAGGTTATGAAATGAAACCACTTTCAACCTTCCCTTAGCCTAATGCTTCCTATTTTGTCTCTTCCCTGGCTTGCTGTACAATACAATAGTATTCTTATTTCCTTTTTTAACCAACTCCTCACATGAAGTACTTTTCTTAAGTCCAGACTAATAAGAAAAGTGGTTGCTCTAAATACAGGCAATAAAATGGATCTAATCTAAGACAAATGTCTGTTTTTTTCAAATGTGTTGCATTGTATCTCATTTTTCTTGCTAAACTTTGTATCTTTGATTTCACAGAAGTGTGTATCTATAGCTATACCTTTAAACTTTGCATGTCATCCAGGCTAGGTTTACAGGCCCACAGTTGACTGTGTCATGTTCTCCTTTGCTGCTTAAATATAGATGCAATAATTTGCAGCTCTCATCACGTTATAGTACCTGCCAGTTATTGTCACTGGTTACTCCTGGATCTGTAAGTTCATGTGTCAGCTCTAGAAGTCTGGGATGGAGATTGCCTAGTGCTTGCTTTTAAAAGCGTGTAAGATCTTTAGGTTTTGTGTCTGCCTGGGACATGGTATATGTTCCCTCTCTTGCCTTTGTCTCTCTTAACTGCCATTATCCATATATTCAGATAGATGGTCATGTGGGATTTGAAAGTTTTATCTTAATTTAGAAACATGTTTTTCTTTACTTTCATTGTTTATCTGTGCTCTCTACTTAGTTCTGTTCCCTCCACCCTGCTTTCAATCTACTTTCCTTGAACTGAGCTATTAAAAGTGCAAAGAACATATTTCTGTCTCCTTTTCAGGGTGCCTTGGGGGGATCTAATCCATCTTTACTGCTGGAAAGTCTTTCAGTATCACACTTCCTTATCACTTTAAGTGACATAAACACATCACTTTAGCATCAATATGTCTCTGTGCCTTCTGAACACCTCATATTTGGGGTGTTTTTTGCCAACATGGTTATTGATTCCTTTTGGTCTGGACACTTTTTATTCTGTTATTGAGGGTACAAGCTTGACATTATGAGGAATTTTTATTCCAGGAAATTCCAAGCTTTCCACTGGTGACTGTAGAAATCCTTTACATTATGTTACAGACATTAGGTGCATTGATTTCCTCCTTGATTGCAGAGCAGTTCGTTTAACTATTCATATTCCTTAATTTCCCATTGAAGGACTAAATTGCACATAGGTCTTTGAAGCCAGACAGCTAAAGAGAAAATTAACTCCGATTTACAAGCACAGAAGTGTACCCCTCAGTGTTTGGTACAGGGTTTGATATTGCTGGCCTTACAAATGCCTATTTGTTTATTGAAAACCATGTTGCTGCAGGTATATTTTGAATCTGGACTTTGGCATTTCCCTAATAGCAAGACTTTTAATAAAGCTCTGATTAAGAGGTACTGTTCCTATTAAAAGGTGCTGTTCTTAATTCCTTTTCTTCTTCACTGGGAGGAATTAGTCACACTGCAGTATTTTTCTGGATCAGAAGGTAAAATCACTGATAAAATCAGTGTGGAATAATGGATAAATTTGTATTAAAATCTATTATACTGTGCCTATAAGGCTTATTTGTAATAAGAGTCTATTTTTTTCTGCCTTAATTGCTTGGATTATAAACTCTTGGGATCTGTTCTACGCTATATGGTTCCCAGCACAGCTTCAGGCTCAGTGGTCATGAGGTACTTCTGCTATGTAGATGCAATTAATCATGGTAAGTTTGTCACATGCAAACCTTTCCCATACAGCAATGATAATTTGCATTCAGAGTCCAGAAATACAATGTAATTTGGCATCTTTTCTGGACAGAAGTGAGCAGGAGCCCAGTCCCACTTGGGACTGTCACAAGTACAAGTCCTTCTGGGATATCTTATTTAAAGAAGCAGAAGTTGGTTCTTGGATGATGATCCACTGAAGATCATGGCAAACCACTTGGTTTGTTCTCTGAAGAAGTGCTCCTTTCCTTGTGCTGGCTAACACTTTGCTACGGAGTGCTTATAACAATATAAATCATACTTCTCCACTTTAGCATTCCCAGCTCCAAAATGATACCCTTAGTGTGCTAATCCTAATGTTTTATGTTGTGAGCATTACTGCAGCCATTGCTTTTCCTAATGTGGGTGAACCTCTAGCCAAAATCTTGGAAGGGATATACAGAAAATGCAGGTGCCTTGCTCTCTGTTCCCTGAAATGCTGTTGAGCAGTCTTTGTCAGTATCAAATTTACATCTTTTCTTTTCTCAGCTCGCCTGGAAACTGCTTTTTATCATTTCTTTTGAGTATGAGAAGCAAGGTCTCTGCAGTGAGATGGATCAAACTTCAAACTATGAAGGGCTCCCTAATTGAAGACAGTGCTTGTCAGGTATAATGTGGGTAGTTTTTTCCTGTTTCTGGCAATGTCTTTGCAGCTGGTTATGAAAACTCATATAGTTGCGGTAAGTAGGTAGCTTTTCCAGGTGAGTCCACTCAACTTCTATGGAATCTAAAATATTTCATTCAGAGTAGATCTAAATGAGTTAAGTTTAAATGAAGACTCCTCCTAACTTCCTCTAACCCCTGCTGCTTTTATTTCTAATTGTAAAACATCACAAGTGAAAAGTGAGTTAGGTGGGTATTTCTCATGTGGATAAATCTAGGCAATATGCAGGCATATGATGGAGTTTCTTCCTGAGTTTGCAAAAGGGCAGCCTTGGAGTCTCTGCTGTTAGTTACAGCTACTATTTTTTACCTTGTATTAAGCATAGATAAAGGTGGCAAAAACCAGAGCCTGCTCCATGGGAAAACATGAATAGAACCAATCATCAGCATTGTTAACTCCCATGGACAATTACTCAAACCCTCTGTTCTAGGGGAGTTTGCTATTTGTGACACAATCAATAAGTCACTGTTGATTTAAAGAATAGATAGAGCCATCAGCAAGGTAAAAAATGGTGTGCCAGAAGGACTCTTAGCATCCTTCCTTTTCTCTACAGCTCGGTGGAGTTTGCTCTCTTACCTAAGTGCTATTTTGAGATGTTGCTTTCTCCTATCCCAGTCTCATCCTTTAATTGCCCTATAGCTAGTAAGTAATAGTTTGCCATTTAAGGGTTTGGAGATGAGAGAAAGGCTACTGTAGTTGCATAATGTTGAACTAGGCATAACATGTTCTCCTTCCCTTGTATGTTGCAAGAAGTGTGACTAGATTGAACACAGAAACTACCCAGCAGTGCTGGGTATTTCTCATCCTGGGTTGGAGGCTACATGTTAAATATCAATTAAAGCCCTTAAATCACAGAATCATCGAATTGTTTAGGTTGGAAAAGATCTTTTAGATCATTTATCAATAGAAAATCATCTCTGGAGAGTATAAATTATGGTTCCATGAGACACATTGGATTTATTATTCTCCTTCTGATTAAAATCTTTATTGATCTTCTGCTATTTCTGTTTTAATTGAAGGCAAACTGTGCACTTTCTGCTCAGAAGAATCCAAGGGAGACAAAAAGAGGTTACTTGAAAATCCAAAGATCAAAAGGGAAGGTGAAGTTTGAAAGAAAGGTAAAGCCAAAGTTTTTTCCATTAAACTAATTGCAATGGAATTGTGGCTGGTAAATATGCTTTGTGTTCTTCCGAGAAATAGCAAGCAGGGACATGCACTCACATGCTGCTCGGGCTCCATTTGAAGAGTGTACTTCTATTAATTTCATGCTTCTGACTTTTACTGGTGCAAACTGAAATCTATAAAAGCTCCATAAGACCAAAGTAATTTGAAGCTGTTTGTTAGTCACAAGAAACAAGACTGCATAAAAAGTCAGCTTCATTCTGCTGATGCTCCTTCATTTTGGTTTGCTTTGCTTCTATGGCCTCTCTGCATCTGTTACAAAAATCCTGCTGCTTCTCTCACCTTCTCTTCAAAAATTAAGAGTTATTTTCCTCTTTTGCTCTTCTACCTGTCTTCTGTTGATGTGGAAGATGCTGGCAAGTTGATAGAGGGATCAGCAGGCAGAGAACGGAGAAGTACCTAAACCTCTCTTTTCTCTGTGAGCTGGTTTCAGGAGACCTTTGACTGTGTTCTTTAATGCATTTTGAGATATAGAGACATATATGGCTGTAAGAAATGCCCAGTTGTGAGGGAGGTGTTTTGAACATTTGAGTTGCCTGGAGGGGAAAGTCCACTCCCCGCCTTATGGACTAAAGCTTTTATTTTTTGCCCAAGATCTCAGAAGGGTTACCCATAGTGTAATGGGGCAGGGATCGTGTTGAGGGCCTGCTGAAATGAGGAGAGTTACACACACACGCCTACTTCTGGGTGAGCAGATGTTAGTGGAATGTTAGAAAAGGCTGGGGAGCAGTTTTTGAAAGCATATAGAATCATAGAATCATAAAATAGTTAGGGTTGGAAAGGACCTTAAGATCATCAAGTTCCAACCCCCTGCCATGGGCAGGGACACCTCAATCTAAACTGTATCACCCAAGGCCTCATCCAACCTGGCTTTGAACATGGCCAGGGACAGAGCATTCACAGCCTCCTTGGGCAACCCATTCCAGTGCCTCACCACCCTAACAGGAAAGAATTTCCTCCTTATATCCAATCTAAACTTCCCCGTTTAAGTTTTAACCCATTACCCCTTGTCCTATCACTACAGTCCCTAATGAAGAGTCCCTCCCCAGCATCCCTATAGGCCCCCTTCAGGTACTGGAAGGCTGCTCTGAGGTCTCCACGCAGCCTTCTCTTCTCCAGGCTGAACAGCCCCAACTTTCTCAGCCGATCTTCATATGGGAGGTGCTCCAGCTCCTGATCATCCTCGTGGCCTCCTCTGGACTTGTTCCAACAGTTCCATGTCCTTTTTATGTTGAGGACACCAGGACTGCACACAATACTCCAGGTGAGGTCTCATGAGAGCAGAATAAAGGGGCAGGATCACCTCCTTTGACCTACTGGTCACACTCCAGGTAATTGCAGACTATAAGCCACCTAAATGGTTTAGAAACCCTGCTGTGATTTTTGTTCCCAATTAAAATCCAATGCACCAATGGATTTGGTGGATAGATTATGAATCTGTGCACCACAGGAGCTATGCAGCTTCCAAGTCTGTTTCATTATAAATAAAAGGAAAAAGATTGTTGGATTTTTTTTCCCCTGTTACTCCATGAATGCTTTGTGGAGAAAAAGGCTTACTACTACGTGTATATCTGTAAAATTCAGTGCTTAGAAGTTCTACTTCTGGTAGTACTAAGGAGACTAACTGCAAACCAAATCCAAGTTAGTTGCCCACTTCAAAGGTCCCCTTAAAAAGACCCACAGCTGAAGCACTTCATGGTTCAGACTGTCCAAACTGCAAAGAGGATAGAAGGATCTGGAGCAACAATGCAAAAGAGACCAGATGCCTTGCAGAAAAAGGCTGTGGAACTGGAAGCTGAACTCAAAAGATGCAAACATGAGATATCTCTAGACCAAGAGAATGAAGAGGTGTGCTTTTCTAAGGTGAATCTTTTGCCTTTCAGATGTAGAGGATTGTGCCTCTCTTTAATTTCCTGTACCTGTTGTTAGTGTACATTACAGAGTGTTTCGTGACAGGGAACTCTAAACAGAAATGGCTATATTCAGTTCTATATGGAGCCACTCATCCCTTCTATGTGAAGTTATTCATCCCTTCTATATGGAGTCATGCTCCTGTCTGTGACAACCACATCTTTTCTAATTAACTTTGAGGCAAGGAGAAGGGGTAAGAAATAACCTATAGTATTGATAGTGTAGATTATGTCTGCTGGTCATTTTGTTTTGCTGTTTTAATGGATACTCTCAAAGCATTACACACAGCTGCTTGTCAACATTTTCACTTCTTGATGATGTTAGTGGTTACAAAAGGCTCATAGTTCATTATTTGTTACTTGGAATAATACCACTAAGTCTGTCTCACGCTATAAATCCCATCTTCAAACGTTTCTCAAGGAATAGGTGAAAGTTAGTGAAAATGAAGTGAAAGTTAGATGTTCTGTTGTGACTGTGTGCTTTTACACCATGAAGATAATACCCATGCCACCAAGTAAGTCTTTCTGCACAGTTGGTGCCTGCTTTGTTTGAACTTCTCAAACCCAGAAAAACGAGTATATAACATAAAGCTTAACCATTCTTTCTCCCTGCACTGTCTTCCTCTTTTCCACACTCTTGACCTTGAGCCCTGTGCCAGAAGCAGGACCTCCTGCTCGCCCTTTGCTGTCACTGCTATCAGCAGATTGCCACCTGCTGGATGCCCTCCACAGTGCCCTTGGTCTGAACTTGGAGGCTTTACCTGCATCTCCATTAGCGGTGGTGGCAGACTGGTGAGGGGAGCTCAGTGCAACAACCTCGTGTTTGATTGCATGTTTCAAGGGTTTTGCTTTTAGACCAGTCCTGTAGTCCTCAGGACCAGCCACTCAGTGATGGCTGGGATGCACCTTTTGGTTGACTTGGTCCAAAAGGAATCTACTAGTGTGGGTTCTTTGAATGATATGAACCACAGTGCAAGATGCATGGACAATTGGAATCATAGAATCACAGAATGGTTTGGGGTGGAAGCAGCCTTAAAGCTCATTCAGTTCTAACCCCCTTTCACAGGCAGGGATGGACACCTTTCACTAGAGCAGCTTGCTCCAAGCCCCTTGAACACTGCCAGGGATGGGGCAGCCACAGCTTCTCTGGGCACCCTGTGCCAGCGCCTCAGCACCCTCACAGGGAAGAGCTTCTGCCTAAGAGCTCATCTCAGTCTCCCCTCTGGCAGGTTCAAGCCATTCCCCTTGGCCTGTCCTCCAGGCCTGTCTTGTGAAGATTGCTCTGAAGACAGCCAGACTCTGCTAACACTGCCCTGTCTCTCCCCAGGAATGTCCTAGTTCCTCCTTCTGCATATGTGAGGCCTTTTTGCCCAGTATTTCATGGAGTATTGGGAATGTGGATGAATATTATTTGCACTTTATGGATGGAGAAGCGAGAAAGCCACCGTCCTGCCCACCCACCAGTGGGTCAGAAAGAGAAGACTGAATCCTGTTTTCCTGCTCAATAGCTTCTGTGAGTAAGTAGTCTCTATATTCGCTGCTTTAAGCTTTGTATACCAGCTCCCTGCTCAGCATACAGAGAATTCATAACTCTTTGACGTGTCTGTTCTTTTCCCCATAGCTGTTAGATGCACTCTTGAGAAGGAAAGAATAAAAGAAGGGAACAACACTCTTAATGTCTGGCAGTTAGACAATATTAATTATACATGTATCTGTGTATTTAGAAACTCAATAGAATTCTTTTCTTTCTCAGTGATCCAGGAGAACAGCTTGTTCTGTAAAAGGTGTTTTCTAACTATAGACAGGTATCAATTCCTCTATTGACTGAATTGATTCCTTCCTCTGCTAATGCATCTACTGTCCTGCACCTCCTGATGAGGTGGCTGACATATAACATTACAGCTTTGATAGAGGGGATGAAGAAAACCCTTTTGTTCACAATGCTGTCACTGTGCGGCCACTGCCCATCGGTGCTTTGAAGCAACCAGTTCTCTTCATCATCCTAAAAGCTCCCTGACATCTGTTCACTTAAACAGCATTCCATTCCATTCCATTCCATATTCTATTTTTCCATGGGCTAAATATATGAGGAGAATAAAGGCAGCCTGTCTTGGATATTCACCAATGTTTTTTGCCTCTGACCACAAACTTAATTTGTTCAGAAGCTGATGAGCTTTATGCCATTGTGGGGACACGCACACTAAAATGAACTCCAGGCTCTCCTTGTCTAGGAAGCATTTGCTAGAACTGATTATGCCATTAAAGGATTTGGGAGGAATTTAAGTGCAGGTGAGCTCCAGTCTTTACATTGTGGTTGCTCCTTAAGGGAATGGCTTGAGCAAGCGTAAAGTCAGTCTTGGATTTTTAAACATAGGCTTGGAATTTCGTATTTTAAAGGAATTCAGATGGTTGCAGATACTTTTAAATCATCACAGTAGGATGATCCAGTGTCATGGTATTTAAATGATACAGAAAATGAGTATACCTCTTGGCCAGAGTATGCCCCTTCAGTGCTGGGGAATAGGGAAGTTGGGAAGGAATCCTAATGGAGAGACAAAAGAGAACTAGTGAAGAGCTACAGTCTCCAGTGACCTGCAGCTGAGAGATGGAGAGCACCCTGGGCATGAAACCTTCCTGTATATCTGGAGAACGATGGGTCTGTTGTATTCTGCATAGCTGGGAAACAGGGGAAGCACTCAGCTTTCTGGCATGGTTCATGGTGTCTGCCAGCAGCTTCCTCCTCCAGAATGTAACTAGCATTGGGCTTGGACAGATCCAGGGATGGGGGAACATATATGTGATTCCATTAATATTAATGAAGTTTCTAAAGAAAAGCTCTGCATGTTGACAAGATAATGCACAGCTTTGCTACAGCCACCTTCCAGAGCTGGCAGGGATCCTGGAGTCTTCCTTGTGAGAAATGCCCAGCTATAAACCTATTTTCAGGGTTTCAAATGACTTCTCAGAGAGGTGCAGGTGAAATCCTGATCCTTGTTTCACTCAGAGCACCCCCTGCTCTTACTAGGACCCAGCTTCCCACCTCTCTATTCCAAATCGGTGCTCAGGCTCTTGGGGCTGAGTAGAGAACATTTGAGCTGCTTTTTCCAAGTGAGCATGTGGTGTCTTTTCTGCCCTGCTGAGGGTGATATAAGGAAAGCAAGTGTCTGCAAAACATAGGGTTAAAATACTTTCAACTTAACTTGGGTCTAAGAGAGAGAACAATGTTTGTGTTGTAAGTCTGCGGTGTGGTAACAGAATTTAGCAGCCTTACTAACATGAGTGTATTATTTCTTTCCATCTTTCTAATGAGTCAATTCTTTCTTTCCATCCTTCTAATGGGTGAATTATTCCTTACCATCCTTCTCCTTATCAGTTAGTTTGGAGACAGTGCCTCCCGAACATCTGCTAGCTTGGGATACTCCTTGTCTGCCCGTCCTGTTCTGCTTGCAGTAAGTTTTGCACGAAGGTCACACTGTTCTAAATCTTTGCCAGCTATCAGAAGCTTACAGATAGGGCTGGTTTCAGGTGGTTTTGTGATTACTGGGGCATCCAACAGTGCCAAAGGGAAAAGTACACCGTGAGGAAGACTGCTTACTGCATCTTGAAGACCTTTGCCCACATGAGGAAGACTGCTTACTTCATCCTCAAGACCCCTGCCCACGACCATCTCAGAGGGCAGCACGCAAGCACCAAAAGGGATGAGAGTTATGATAATGATTACCTAAACTAATTGTAATAGCCCCACTGCTCTCTCAAGAACCTAATGAATATGCATGTTTGTGTGTGATAAATATCTGCTAGCTTAACCCCTCAGTGCCCAAGTTAGGAGGAGCGATCGCCCTTGCACCCGGTGCCGTAGTAAATGTACCTGCTTTATAACTCTCTGAGTTGTAGAGTCTGATTTCATGCTTCAGGGGAGCTTGGGAGTTAAAGTGGAGGACTCAAGAGCCTGTCTGAAATGGAAGAGTGAAAATCCAAGCTCAAAAGGACAAAGAAAAGGAAAAAAGCAAAAATCTCGTCCCTGGAAAATGAGAAAGTGCTTATCAAAGGAAATGTGGATGTGCTGGTGGATGTATGCCAGTGTACAGCAGTTTGCTTTCCGGTCCCTAGGCTTGCTCTGAAGTGTTCAGACTTTTACAACATATGAAAGAAAGGTGGCTTGTTGGTTGTTTCCTGTACTTGGGAGAGATGAAAAAGGGAAAAAGGGCAGGTTTTGCACTGCTGGAGCTGCAGAGGGTAGGGGGCTTCCCTTAGTTTCCATTAGAATTGAATAAAAAGAGCTTTAACTTTGTCTAATAAAAATAACTAATGTGATCTGTTGGCATTTCTATTAGGAAAGAAGCATAGGACCTCAACTGTGAAATGCATTTGTTACAGCGTAAAGAGAATCACTATGTTGCTGGGAATGAAGATGCAGTCTTTCTGGCAAAACACTGGGGGAAACAGTTAAGACATCCTAACTGCTCATATCCTGAGAGCTGAATTCTTGCTGTTCCTGTAAAGTCAAAGGTAAGGATCTACCTGGGAAAAAAGGTGTTTGGCAATGTGTTGCTGAGTACTTTTCTGCCACATATCCCTCTTTTATCAAGCTGGGATCCAGGTCCAATCATCAGTTGGTCACTGAACCTGCCTCATTGCAAACTGGATGGCTTTAGTTGAGATGTTCCAAGAATCATAGAATCACAGAATGGTTTGGGTTGGAAAGGACCTTAGGATCATCCAGTTCCAACCCCGCTGCCATGGGCAGGGACACCTCACACTAAACCATGTCACCCAAGGCTCTGTCCAACCTGGCCTTGAACAGGGATGGAGCTTTCACAGCCTCCCTGGGCAACCCATTCCAGTGCCTCACCACCCTCACAGGAAAGAATTTCCTCCTTATATCCAATCTAAATTTCCCCTGTTTAAGTTTGAACCCATTACCCCTTATCCTATCACTACAGTCCCTAATGAAGAGTCCCTCCCCAGCATCCCTATAGGTTCCCCTTCAGATACTGGAAGGCTGCTCTGAGGTCTCCACGCAGCCTTCTCTTCTCCAGGCTGAACAGCCCCATCTTTCTCAGCCTGCCTTCATACAGGAGGTGCTCCAGTCCCCTGATCATCCTCGTGGTCTCCTCTGGACTTGTTCCAACAGTTCCATAAAGAAGCCAGCTTCACTTTCCTACCTGTAGCTCCCCAGTGCTGCAGGTATCATCAGAGCTGTGCTCGAGGAAAACATGGAGCAGCTGTGTTGACCTTTAGCAAGTGCCTTGAAGTCTGTAGCGCTGTCCCACACACAGTGTAGTATGTTTGTCCCAGGGTTTCCTGATTCTAAGTGCAGTGAGATATGGCCTAAAATGACCCATTGTTATAACAGTGACAACAGCTGCTGGGGTACAAATCACGTTATTTCCTTTGGAAAGAAAAGAGTTCTATTTTTAATGATTTTCTCCTTAATCTTTCCATTCCATTCTAGCAGTGTTTATGGTACCGAGTACAATACTTCTTGTTATGACTGCTCTTTGTGTGACTGGGACCTAAGCAGACATTCTGCAGCAAAACGTCTGGGATACAGAGCCTAAAGAGCTTGTGCTGCAGGAAGTGCTAAAAAAACCCCCACTCAATCTCCTCCCACCCCCAAAAAACCCCCAAACCCAAACAAAAAACCTTAAAGACACTGTCATGGTTCCCATGGGGAATGTTATTGTATCCTTTGGAATGCAGCTTGTGCATCTATTCTATTAGGATTCTTTCTTTAAAGGGGCAGTTTCTTCTTGGAAAATCTGACTCCCTCCAGAATTGAGGGTCTTGATTTTGGTTCTTAAAAGGCATTTAAAGAAGATCTGCCATTAGCAAGGTGTTTTGTGTTTTGATGGTGGGTGGTTGGCAGGGTTTCTGTTTCCCTTTTCCTGCTCTCCTGTACAGCCAGTGGACCCTGTGATTGTGCAGCATCCTCATCTTAGGGAGGTTTTCATGCACATATTAGGTCGGTGTTACTGCTGAAAAAGGTTCTTTTCTCTTTCCTACTGTTCTCATGTCTCCCTTGTGATGGCACAGGCAGTGCAGTAAGTAAGGGAGCAGATCAGGAAACTAAACTGAGTGAAACTTGTAGAAATTTGGAAGGCTTAAACTGATTTGAGGAGTGGGTGAAGACAGAAAACCTCTTACTCCTGTTCACCTCTGTCAGTCTGGGTTTGGTGGATGCTGTCCACCAAAGGGTTCTGACCAGTGTCAGAGGGCAGGCTGGGTTGGTTGTTAGCACCTCACAAACTGAACGTTCATTTCATTCCACAGACACAACTTCCAGGGGGGATATTCTTTTCATTTAAACTAAGTATGCTTCACAGGTGAACAGTGCTGACCTAAGCTGTGGCCTAAGATGGGGTTTGGCACACAGGTTAGAATTGCTGGTTCTTCATTAGCGTGAGGAGGGCAAGCAGTACACTTTGGTATTGCACTGTCAGTGAGGTGTCTAGAAGAGAAGTAGCTGTTAGAATCATAGAATAGAATCATAGAATGGTTAGGGTTGGAAAGGACCTTAAGATCATCAAGTTCCAACCCCCCTGCCATGGGCAGGGACACCTCGCTCTAAACCATATCACCCAAGGCTCTTTCCAGCCTGGCCTTGAACACTGCCAGGGATGGAGCATTCACAGCTTCCCTGGGCAATCCATTCCAGTGCCTCACCACCCTCACAGTAAAGAACTTCCTCCTTATATCCAATCTAAACTTCCCCTGTTTAAGTTTTAACCCATTACCCCTTGTCCTGTCACTACAGTCCCTAATGGAAGAATCCCTCACCAGCATCCCTATAGCCCCCCTTCAGATACTGGAAGGCTGCTCTGAGGTCTCCACGCAGCCTTCTCTTCTCCAGGCTGAACAGCCCCAACTTTCTCAGCCTATCTTCATACAGGAGGTGCTCCAGTCCCCTGAACATCCTCGTGGCCTCCTCTGGACTTGTTCCAACAGTTCCATGTCCTTTTTATGTTGAGGACACCAGAACTGCACATAGTGCTCCAGGTGAGGTCTCACGAGAGCAGAATAAAGGGGCAGGATCACCTCCTTCGCCCTGCTGGTCATGCTCCTTTTGATGCAGCCCAGGATACGGTTGCTTTCTGGGCTGCAAGCGCACACTGAAGCTGGCTCATGTTCATTTTCTTATCCACCAAGACCCCAAGTCCTTCTCCGCAGTTGCTGTTGATTCAATCGAGCAACTTTTCCCTAGTTACCCTTTCTATGTAGTTGAATATTACTTTATTTACTGCCTCAGCAGTGCTGGATGTGTCAATGACTGTGAGTATTCTTTAGGTACGCCCATTTGGAAATAATGATGTCTCCAGCCAATGTGAGGTGGCATAACTGTGCAAGATCCCTGTGCTCTGTAACTTCAGAAATGACAACCTTGGTGTATAGTGTTTACTGTGTTAATGTATTAGCACCTCTTGTTTGACTGGTAAGAGCAGAGAACAGTTTGCTTCTGGAGAAGGTGGATGAGCTGCAGAAAGCCCTTGAGGAAGAGTCTCTCTCATGTAGCTTGGCCTCAGCTGCTCATGAGAATTCAATGAGACCACCAGCTTCCCAGCAGGGACCACTGGATGGATGCAGGGTCAGGTATGCCCATTGTAGAAGCATCTGTGCCCGTGTTCAGAAACATGTACAATCACTGAGACAGCTTCATTCGTCCAGAACACACTCAATACTGTTGCCATGTGGTTGGTGATTACTGGCTTCTGAAAGCAGCAGTGCAACCTGGCTGCCTCTCTTTTAAACAGCTTCACTATTTTATGCATGCACTTGTATTACCCAGGGTGTACACAGCAGCTCCAGCTATTAGGATCAATTAGAAAAGTGTGGATACTCCTTTCAGAAGCTGTTTAGCTGGTTTAAAGCTGAAGGTTATTTCTGTGCAGTGTGGGGCTGCCTTTCAGTGCGAAAGGGAGGAAAGGGACCTGTGTGAACAGGAGGGCCTGTGTGCTACAAGGGTAGTGTACTCGTTCTCAGTGTTAGAAACAAGCTGGAGCAGGCAAAAGGTACCCAACCAGCTACACAAGGAGAGCTAAACTTGGCCTCAGCCTCCTAGGCCTGAATTAAATTAGCATTAACAGAGTAGGTAACAGAGGAGAAGGAAGGTTTCACCCAGGAATAACGTATGAATCTGGTTACCAAGCAAGGGATCTGGGAAGTTCTCACTGAGGAGATGAAATGGACAAGGATTTAAAGGAAATAACAGTATTTTCTAGTCCTTGAAGTGGGCAACTTGGCAATTTTCTGAGTTTTATTTTAAGTCTTAATTGCTCAGTATCTCCTTTCTGACCATCACATGCTTCTGGTCTGCCTGCCTTGGGAAGCATCACAGTTTTGCATTACCACAAGCTCTATCAACCCATTGATAGGTGTGGTTTAACAATGGCTACTTTGCAGTGGTGTGATAAGCAGGCACTTTGTGCCAGTCAGAGCAGCCTGAGCACTCTGTGCTGAGATTCTGCTGTGTAATGTTTAGAGTTGCTTCTTTCCTTGGCCAACTCTTGGAGTTTAAACCCCCAAATTGGTGATAAGCAATATGTTAACTCACACCTCGCTGCTTGTGTGGCCCCTTCAGTATTACATCTGAGATTAAGCTGTGATGGTCCCCTTGGCAGTTCCAGGACCTTCAGGGATAAAGGTGTTACTGGACTGAGCTCCCCAGAGCAGAATTTAACCAGAATGAGACCCACATTAACAGCTCCAGGAGCTGATTTTGCTTTGTTTGCTTTTGTACTTAACTACAAATGTAATTTGGTATCTCTCATCCATTTTAGAAAATGCAGGATGGCACGAAATACACTTTATAAAGTGTAGCAAGTTAACAGGAGCCCTTCATGAGAACTATGTGCATCTCTATGTGTGGAAGGCTATGTCTGAGAACAGTGGTGATCTGAATAATGCGGTAATGGGATGGTTTGTAACAGTTTATTATGCTGGCAGCTGGGGTTTCTTAGCTGTGTTTGTTAGGAGAGTGGTTACTTACTGTTAATTAGTAACCTGCTTAATCTTCCTAACCTTCTTATTGTTAACCTGCCTAACTATTGTTAGTAATCAGCTTATTGTTAGTAAGCTCTAACTATTAGTGGCAAACATTGGGCTGTGCAAGTGTAAATATGGCTGATTTTAGTCCTGTTGACAACTGGCTTCCACAGTACCCTTTGTGTTCATGAAATTAAATATGGCCTCATTTACAGTCTTAAATATCAGAAAGTAACAGCATTTCTTTCCCACAAACATCTGCCTTCTCTGTTTCTCTGTACTGCAGACACTTGAGCATGCAGGGGATCTTCTCATATGGCTAATCCTGGGATGCAGCTGTGTGAGACACCGACAGTCACTGGCCAGCACTAAAAGGGTGAAGTCCTGCTTGTCCCTGTCATCTCCTAACCTCACCCTCTCCTTTTGGCTGGGCTATTTTGACACAGTGAAAGGGTCTGAAAAACAAGGAGGAAAAGAAAAGAACGGTGGAGGGCAGAGCTTGTGTTCTATAGGCACAAGAAGGTGTT